TTTTTGGGGTTAATGAATACAAATTAATAACTTAAAATTATTTTCACATCCACTAGTTACCCGTATAACGCATATGTACGCGTTAAAACGCGCGTTAGAGGACTTCAAAATTTGTAAATACTATTTGTAGTAAAAAACAAATCTACACTAAAATATGCAGTTAAGTAACTAAGGTTTAATTGGTCAAAAGTTGAGTGTTTTAATATATTGTTAATATATAATAATAAATGTGTTAATATATTGAAATATAAGTTATATTTTTTATTCATGGAAGAATATGTGTATTCTTTCGATGAATATATGTATTCTTTCCTATTTCTTTTCTTATTTTTACACACCCTTCGTATTATTTAAATCATAATAAAAAAGTCTACAAAGAGATGATCGATAAACCACTGTTACCTCTTCTATATACACAGTTTTACATTTGAAATTGATACTTGCATTAATATCTTTCTTTTTAGCTAGAGATTTTGAAAGTTCGTATTTTTTCTTTAAAAAATTGATATTTTTGATTTTCAAAAATTCTTAAAACCTAAAATAATAAATTACCTTTAAAATCTCTAACTAAAGGTGGACCTAACACACTAACTAAGGTGGACCTAACACACTAAGAACCATTTGTGGAATTTTTTTTATAAATGAAGTAAAAGACAAGTATGAGTTTATCCCTGATGTTTTTATGTGACTAATTTTCAGAAAATTGGTAGTCATTTAAAATAATTTTTTTTATTATTATTTGATTAAAAAAACAAACAACTATTTTTTAAGACTTTATCTTGTATTTTAAAATGTAAATGTTAAAAAAATTTTTATTTATTTTTTCACTTGAAATTTAAAATTTTTTTTAAATGATTGTATATTTGATAAAGTATATTTTGTAAAAATATTTATTAGTAGGTATAAATAGTATATATACAAAACAGTATGAAAAAATGTTTACAAATATCTAAACTTGTGTTTTTTACTATGTTATATTTCATATTCATGAATTTCAAAGTTATGTTTTCATTATATTTTTCAAATTGTATGCAAAAGGTCTGGATTTTATTCTGCATTTTTTTTGTGCACTTGTATTGTAACTTCATTATATAAGTTTATTATTGTTTACAACAGCTTTATTATTGAAAGACTTCCAGGAATGTAAAGGCTGGTACTATTGTGAATAAAAATTATAAAAAGCTACAAAAAAGTATATTAGGAATTATAATTAGTTTATTCTAACAGACTATTTGAATATAATGTTACTTCTTATAAGTAATGAACTGAAGTGTTAACAAAATTTTCTACTTTACAGATTTAAATGTTATATATTAATAATTTTTCAAACAAATGTTGATGCATATCTTAAAAAACTGTGTTTCTCTTATCTATATTCATTAATATCGATTTATATATTGCATGTTTAAAAGCAAAAACAAATTGTAGTTAGTTTTTCAAAGTTGATAAACATCTGATACAATGTATCAGGTTATAATAATCTGATACAAGGTATCAGATTATTAAAAAACCTTGATGTTTGGGTTAAGGTTATCTAAATAAAATCATAGTTAATAGACTTAAACTGGTTTGGAAACTCGGAACTTAGCGTAACAAAAACTATATTAAGTTGAAAATGCAATCACGTGACATTGACCGTGCACAACATATACATAACATAATATTTACAACATAATATACAATGGCTGTAGAAGGAGGAAACTGTAATAATATTTGTGATGCTTTTGGAAACTTTTGTAAAAGATCACGAACTTGAAAATTATGCTGAATCTATTTTAGAAGATGAGTACTTTTAAAAGTTTTAAAAATTGCATAATTCTAAAAAACACTTATCAACGATATAGCTGCTGAAAATGATAACAATTTTAAATTAAACTTTAACATCGAGATTTTGTTTTCACTAATAAAAAATGTGTTTTGCAAGATTATTGGAGGCTCTTTTTATGGCAATTAAATTATTGAGCAATTTATAACTCTTCTTAAAATTTGTTTTAAAAGTTTAAACGAGTCTTACGTTAGTTATTTTGGGAATTCACAGCAAGACAATTTTAAATTGTGGTGATGAATATGAAGATTCTGCTACATTATTATTAAGCAAACTTGCAGATAGTATATCATCTTATTATAAAAACAAATCTATTGTTAACAATGATCAGACATTAAATACACCTGCAATATGTGATAGGGAAAAGTATGGATTGCAAAACTTGGAGGTTATGTTATTCATAAAATTTAAAACAAAATTCAAAATTCTTGAACTAATAATACTCAATTACGAAAAACATTGTCTATTTTAAAAAGCTGTTAAAATGAAACAAAAAATATAACTGACCAAAAGCTTGTCACTTGTCTTAATCGTGGTGAACTTACTGGCATTACAATTGAGTTTAAACAAATTTTATAGCAGAAAAAATATTTTTTTTATCTACAGAACAGTCGAAACTTACTTAAAGTATAGGCAGATTGATCAAAAAAAGAATCTGTGATATATATATATATATATATATATATATATATATATATATATATATATATATATAAATATATATGTATATACAATATCTAAACTACTTATAAAGCAATATACTTGTACAAGATCACCTCTTGATTATCTATTTTCTAACATTGGGAGATTATATAGTAATATTACATGCACTACTACACTATAGTAATACACAGTAACATAAGAGTTTGTGATATAACGCAACGTCATTATGATATGTTTTAATAATTATTACATTCTATATATTATCTGTAGTGATTGTTTACAACTTTTTTTATCATCTGGCTTAAATTGCGTTTCACAAGCAAAGACTTTTCCATAGTTGATTTGCTTTGTAACATATATAAAATACTCTATAATAAATATATACAAATCTGTGAAAAGCTGATAAAGGCTCGAGTCTACTGTTGCTAGACTCTAAACCAGTAATATTTTAAATGCTTTAAAAATATTTTACTGTATTTATAAATATATAGTAAATAAAACAAAGAATCTTGTATTTGTAGAATATAATGAACTTAAATAGTAATTTTCCTTTCGTAAATATTTGTAAATCACCTGTTTAAATATCATGTGACTCGAAGTACATCTCCAGACTATCAACGAGTTTATAAAAAAGTATTCAGTTATTTAATTTGCTCATTAATCTTAATGAGTAAACTAACTAAATGAATTTCTAATTTATACTCTAATAAAGCAGAAAACGTGTTCGTTTCTTGCTTACGATCCGTAATTAATTAAACATTTTATTATCTCTAACAATGCTCTCTTTAAAAAACAATGTAGAATCTATACTAACAATATTACTTCATTTTCAAGAGTTTGTTTAATGAACTTCATTCTAAAATCACATTATGTTACAAGCGTTAAACAACGTTAATAAGTTTGTGTGCACGGTCACGCTTGATTTACGCTCTATTTTTGTGTCAATAAGTTAAACAATGAATTTTACAGAGTTTCCAAACCATTTAAAGTCTATTAACTATGGTAAAATTATGATCCAAAAAACTACAGAAATGTAATGAATTGCGAAATTGGTACTGCAAGCGTTGTGTGGCGATTGTATGATTTTTATTAAAAAAACTTGTGCTGTCAAATATCAAAAAGGATGTACAAGCAATAATTTTTTTGCTGATGACGATGATAGTTTCATTCCATTTTGATTATATCTTGATTTCAGAAATTATTTTTTTTCATAATAGTTAAAATATTTTTTTAGACTTGGATTTTATTTATATCATTTTCAAGATACTTTCATATTACCTTCATGAAAAAAATAGCATATTCAAAATATAAAAATAATTATTTCTATTAGTTTCGATAAATAATACCCGTTATAAAAATATCAATAAGATGACACCTTTCTAAATATTATGCTTTTTATTTATTTTGAATAAATTAAGGCCTCGATGTTTATAGTAGTTCTATTGGTTTAAGCTAAGTTTATATATTGGTTTAAGTTTAAGTTCTATAAGATTAAGTTAAACTTAAGGTTAGCTATTTAATCCGCAACAAAATATCTAAAGCTAAGCTGTTCAACAAGCTATGCAAATTACAATGTGTGTAGATGAATTATAAATTAGAATTTACAAATTGAATCAAAATAGAACATGTATAATAAATTGATAGGGCGCTCAGGAAGCGCTTCGTTATTTGCTTCAACTTCGCGAATTTTTTAAAAAAAGAACCAACCTTTTTATTTTACTTTTTAAGCTTAATTTCTTTATCAAACATTATTATGAGAAGATTCTTTAATTTTCAAAATAAAAATTAAATACTAAATTGTATATTATTACACAAATGCTCGAAAACTGTTTTAGATCTTGGTTGCAGCAAATACTGAAGAGTTTATTTGGCTATAGTTTAGTGGTTTTGTTTCACTAAAATTGAACGTGAAATAACGTGGAACTAACTTTTGGCTGGCACTTATGTTTAAAATGGTGTAATAAAATTTTAATTTTTCAAAAGTAATATTAAAAAAATAACTTGTTTTTTAAATCTAAAGAAGAAAAAGAAAATAAATTTTAAATATTTTAGCACTCATTACTTTAACAAAAATAATAATAAAAAAAATTAATAATAAAGTTTTGTATGGAGGTGAAAAATAATAATAAAGTTTTGTATGGAGGTGGAAAATAAGGTTGCTTACAAGATAATCATACCTTAAATTTTCATAAATTTAACTTTTTACACATATATCCCTTTAAAATTACACATTAATAATATCTATGAAATTAATTAAAGTCGATTTTAGATCAAAAAGTAGCTTACTTTAACATTTAGTCTAAAAATAAATCTAAAAACGATAAAGATTTAACATTTAGTCTAAAAAAAAAAAAGTCTAAAAACGATAAAGCTTTCACTTTTTCCGCCAGACTTTTTGCCATTTTTAGGTTAATCTGGGTTACTGTGCGTCGTTGCGATAAGGTTTGTTGCACTTGTGTAATAGCAAAAAAATTTCAACAACTTTAAAATGATAAAAGACAACAACATAGTATTCTTTGATAAATTTTATTTAAAAATTGTGGCGATTAATTACAAATTACAAATAAAAACTACTTTTTACGACTGGAAAAGCCAATGACTGAACTTTAGGCACCAAGACCACCTAAATGTTTTAAATAAATTGTAACAACTCATTGTTTATATAAATTACTATAAAAATATAAAAATATAATTTTAACCAAGAGTTTTCAATTTTGGCAATTTTGAAAATATACTGTTTTAGAACAACTGAACAAGGTATTCGCGCCCCATTATGACATTGATTTATGACAATGCAGTAGCTTAAAAATGTACAGAACTAAAACCATTTTTTTAAAATATGTATTATATCAAATTTTTAGGACTTTCATTCTTCCTAAAAGACTAACATATTGTCGGCCTATATAGAAAACCAATATGGTCAAAAATTATATTTTGGTACAAATTACATAAAACTCATACTCCAACGAGTAAAACATATTAAATCCTATCGGAAATATTACGTATAACGGGTAAACTGGGGTAAAGTGAACCATTTTTTTTAAATTAAAAAATTATCACGTTTAAAAAACTTTTTGTTTAGTAAATTTAGCATTATTTTTGCTTAATGTAACGTTTTAAAATTTTTCCCCTTCACTTTACCCCTCATTTTTCTGTCTATTGGAGGTAATGTGAACTAGTCTTTTTGTTAAAAAAAAGAGCTAACAACACCAAATAAGTCATTTTTACTAACTTTACAAGAGACGAAAAAAAACTAACCACTTGTGCGGTGTTGTGAGACCAACTGAGGACGACTGAATAAGCGCCAACTGGCATAAGTGCGAATGGCGTAAGTGTAAACTGGCATAAATGCGAAATAGTTACTCAAACTGGCATAAGTGCGCCAAAAGATTTTGCAAACATTGGTATAAGTGCAAAGCAGTTACAAAAACTGGCATAAGTGCGCCAAAAAAATTTACAAACATTGGCATAAGTGCGAAACAGTTACAAAAACTGGCATAGTGGCAAAGTGGCATAAGTGCGAATCGGCATAAGTGCGCCGAATAAATTTGAAAACATTGGCATAAGTGCGAAAATACTAATTTGCACTCATGCCAATATTTTCAATTTTATTCGGCACACTTATACCTGTTTGCACTTATGCCAGTTATTGTAACTGCTTCGCACTTATGCCAGTTCGCACTTGTGCCAGTTTTTGTAACTGATTCGCACTTATGCCAGTTTTTGCAAAGCTTCGCACATATGCTAATTGGCGCTTATGCAGCCTTCCGCTTGCGCGCTGTCACTACTTTTCTAATTACGGCTTCTGATTTGCTGAAATCTATATCATGTGACCAGTGGTTAAATGCGCAATAAGGAGCTCCATCGATAGGCATTAAAATGTAAAAACCGCTAACTTATGACTTAAGCGGTGTGGTAAGCTAAGGGACAGTATATACATTGTAATAACTTAACTAAATTGTTTACTCTTAAAATAAATATCTGTTTTAGAAATTTGCTCAAAATTTATTTCAGAAATATATATTGAAATTGCCAAGAAACTGCATTAAGAAAAAAGTAGGTAAACCTTCAAACGCATGCACCTAATTTAGCTAATTACTTTAGAAACTGTTGAAAAAGCAATTTAAAATCATACAACTATTTTGTGTTTGCCAGAACACTGTTTGCATCTGCTACAACCACTTGATATGGGAGTCTTTCCCCGAGTTAAATATGCATGGTGTGAAATTATAGTTAATTGATATACCGAGTCTTGGCTGAAAGTGGTTGGGAAATCTGTTTTTCCATCTTTACTAAAAACCTAATGAAACTTCTTTTTAGCCAGCTCATTTAGTAAAATCATTTACTAAAACTGAAAATTTCCCCCTTGATCCACCTGCTATAAAATAATCGAGAAAATAATCAGTATGAAGGCTTAATGATGACATACTGACAAGTTAACTTTTTCTGAAATCTATGAACACCCTTTTTCTCAGAAAACAAATAGTTGTGCTAATAACATTCCTCAAAACATCACTTTGAACACCGAAAACATGTGAATGATCAGAACAATACTAATGAAATTTTTTTTATAACATAAATTTTTACATAACTATTTCAATTACAATTACAAATCAAATATCAATTCTACATTATTCTTACCTCCAAGCATGCATTAAAAGCAGTTGCTTTTATTGCATTAACAAATTTTATACCAGGCTACACATCAAGAATGTAAGCAATAATTCAGAAAATAATGAAAAAGTTGACTAAAGTCGACTAAAGTCATTTATTCGGTTGACTAAATGAAACTGCTCCACCTTCTTCAATACTTCATCCATTTACTGTTACGTAATTAAACAAAAGCAGTTTGACGCTTAAGGAAATGTTGGATGCTACTATTTGTAATGTCAACGAGTAGAGACAAATGAGTAGAGACAACAAGTAGACACAAAAGCTCTAAAAAAACTCTGCTATTTAAAAGACCTTATAAAAGAAATTTATTTATCAAAGCCAACATCGATTAAATCAAATTTTTTTTTACTGGGGCGGATTATGAGGTAAGTTCAGGGATGCGCCCTTATTACCAATGCCATTCCCCAAATCTTTATAATCGCATTTTAATTTTATCATAAACTTTAATATTATCATGAAGTGTTATTTAGAAATTTGTTTTATTGAAAAATGTGTAACATTTATTAAATCAGTTTTATCAAAAAATATTTCATTTTGAACAAGAAACATTTTTTTTATTAGCCATTGAGAGGCAACTAAATATTCAATATGGTTTTATTTAATTATTTTGATCAATGTTTCTTTTTTACTTCAATTAAAATAAAATCTAGTAACTAATATTCATTCAATAATAAAAATAATATTTATATAGAGAAATATTTCTAGATAAACTGTTATTTATGAAATTTAATAACTAAGCTTGCTAGTTTATTATTATGAAATTTAATTCAAGTCTATTATTTATGAAATTTAATAACTAAGCTTGCTGGTTCACAATTAAATTTATTGCAGCCGCAAAAAACTACTGCTCTTAAATATGAATTAGTTAGCAACTGTTTTTTTTTCCAATAGTATGTCACTTAAATGTTGAGTTTTGCTATTCTGTCCATATACTTATAAGTCTACATAACACCAGTAAATCCTTGGTTAAAAATAATAACAATAAAAAAAAAAGTTTAATGATTTGTATATATGAATTGATTTAATTTTTAAAAATCTAATTGCTTCTTATATATATATCTAATATCTTCTAAGCTATATTAGAAGATTAAATATTTTTTTATAAAAAATCAATTCAATAGAATAACTAAAAAATCAAGTTATAACAAACCTGAAACTTCAATAGCAGCAGCAGTAATGTAACGACTTTGTTCTGATGCCAAAAACAAACAAGTTCTTGCAATATCTAATTTAAAAAGTAGTAAAGATATATTTAAAAAGCTTTAAAAAATGAAAATTTATTATAGAAAAACAGCCTCACCGTCTGCTTGACCAAAATATCCTAATGGAATCATGGCTTTAACCTAAACAAAAAAAATATTAACATTAAAAAAAAATTTCTAGATTTAATTTACATGCTATCATACCCTTCAAGGGTGTAACAATATAGCAGCGTTAAATCATTTCTTATAATGTACAATAAAGAAAATGATATTTAGTAGATTTTTGATGCTAAGTTGTAGGCTAATTATTGTGGAGAGTATTTATGTATTTATCATTATTAGTATAATACAACAATTACAAACTTTGTTTTTGTTAACTTTGGTTTTCAAAAACTTCTAAATAGTATAGCTTGCTATTTTAATTAATTTATTAACATGGGCCATTTTATTTTTTTTTAAATTTTCTATGGACGAATACTGAAATAAAAAACTAATACCTTTTCTTTAACATTTTGAGGGATTTTTTGAGTCATATTTGTTTCAATAAACCCTGGCAAAACTGCATTGCAACGAATATTGTATCTAGATAATAGTAAATATTTGATAATAAATAAAATAATAAAATTACCATCGTTGAAGACTACAGTATGAAATTGTTGCATATATTATATAATAATTAGCAACTGTTGATATGAAACAACCTTTAAAAGAATAACTGATAGTTTAAATGCTTAAAAAAAATGTTTTACACAGTTATATCAATCTATTGCAAGACAGAATTAGCTGAAAACGCTTCAATTTGAAAACACTTACAGAAAAATTAAGTAGGCTTTTGCACATGGTTAGTTAGCGTTGTCAATGATTAAAATTAACCCTGTAACCCGCAAGCTTTAACTTTTAAAGCTTGCGGGTTACAGTACTTGATTTCATCAGAGTAAAGGATTGCTTAATGCTCCAGATCAAGGTCATTGCTTGCGCCAATACTTTTCTTAAGATTGGAGTGAACATTGGTAAATCATTTGTAACAAAATGTCAAATCGATTAACTTTCAATACTTTATTTGAAGGCTAGGCTTCAGGAAATTTTTTGCCAGCAAAAATTGTTCTAGACTCAACTTCAGGACATTTTTTGTAGGCTAAAGAATCAGCAGTGACATAAAAAAAGATGCATTTAAAATGTAAGAACATAAATGTACATAATGGGTTGCTGATAATGCTAACTGTAACATATGAACTTTAATTGAGAAAAATACATTTCACAGAATGGGTAAAATATCAATTTCAGCATACTCTCTACAAGGATTCATTGCTACTAAATAATATAATGCATCACCTCCTTTAAAAAATGAAATAAAAACTTAATCATTTTCTTTTAAAAAATTTAAAAAAGGTGAAATCCATACTTGATCCTAATGGATCAAGTATGGATTCTGAACCTCTTGATTGTGAGCCGAAAATTCACAAATAAATGACTACATTTAAATTTAATATGTAATAAAGCTAGTAAATTTTTTTTTTTTACCTGTCCGCAATATTTTAGAAACTTCTGTATTTCCAAACGCCTTGGTTATAAATAATCTTATTCAGAAACTTGATTAAAACCTTACTAAGGAAACTACTTCAAACAGAGGATAAAACGTGTTCAATAGAAGAAACTCTAAATTGCATCATTATTTTTGATGGAGGTGCTTTACTATTTTGTGGGTACTGGGTAAAGGTAATAAAGTTTAGGATATAGATTCAAGCATTTTACCTATGTCCAGAACAACTATTCCTTCATTTTATTTAAGCTGAAGGACTTTGCAACAACAATTAAGTCAAATCAAAACCAAAAACATGAAAGAAGGATAGGATCAAACAAAACCTCAACAAATATCATCAATAGAAACAGAAGTTAAACATTCAATAAATATTTTTTGGCTAGCATGCATATTAAGGTGCAATTGATATTGCTCTCTGCAGCAAACCTTACCAATGAGAGCCATATGTTATCTAAAAAAGATGCTGACACAAAAATGCAAATAATTCCAAACAACAATTGTGGCTGATGATACAGATGTGGCTGTAATGCCTCTGTACCACTAGGACAAGAAACTATGCAATGGCTTCTTTTTCAGGAACACAAGAATGGCATAAATAAAAGCTAATTAAAAGTTGCAGAAGTTAAGAATCATTTACTTTTTATTCATGAATGGAGCGGATGAAACTCAAATTTAGCAATATTTGAAAAATAAAGATCCTGAATTCTTCCAAATTGATGGAATTCCAGGGAAATTCCAGGAAAAATTAAATCAAAATAGTTTAATCAAGATTAGTATTACAGAAAAAAAAAAAAAAAAAAATAGTGATAAAAAAAAAAAAAAAGTAATAATTCCTGGCCCAGCCAAGACCCTCAGTCAATGTAAGCAGCATAAATTTGCTAGTCAATGTATGTACTGAAGCCCCCTATTAGCAGCAGGCTATTTCAGAATGACATCACCAAAACAATTTAAACCGCCCCTTTTTAGAACCATGTTACAATAATGAAAATGATGCATTTTTAGCATAAAAATTCCAGGTAATACTCCATCAAATTAATAGGCAAATTGAGATTATTCCGCCTTTATATGACTTTCGAGACTAATTTTGTTTTTTAATCTTAATTTTGTTAAATTAAATCTAATTTTGTTTTTTTGATCTTAGTTCTGTCAAATCATTTTAAAGATTAATGTATTTTTAATTTGGTCAGATAAACTTTGAGATAAATTCATTTTTCAAGAATTTTTTTTTTAAAACACTTTCCTAAACAAGCAAGCACTCTGCAAGCAGATTGCAAAAATATGACAGTGGGAAAATTTTAATGAAATAAAATAAAAGAAAAAAAAGAAATCAGTAACCTGTAAAACTGAAAAAATTGATCCAATTTATTATTTCTACATATGTTAAGGTAAAGTTGGATATTAAAGAGAAAACATACTGACAGGTATAAAGAAAAACTTTAGAAATACATTTAAATATCCAAATATTATCACAATAAAAATGTTTTTTTTTTGTATTTATTTATGGGAAATATTTGAAAACATTAAATTTTTTTCGCACAACATAAGCAAACATTATAAACAGTATTAAATTTGTTTTATAACTATAGGTTGCTCTTTATTTTATGCAAGTTAAACCATATTAAAAACCAAATTAAAAATATATTGACATATCTTTGCCACACTACAAAAAGGAAATAAGTTAATTTCACTTAGCAAAAAATAACTGGATCACAGTAAATTCAAAACACAGCAACACAAAAACCAAAAAAATTTATTGCAAAGTGTATAAATAATCTTTTTAATAATTTTGAAAAAATAGGAAGTTAAACTAAAATCAAAATGATCAAAATCAAATCTGTGAAATATTATTTAACAATAAATTTAATTTAATAATAATAATTTTAAAGCATGATGTATTATTTACCTCGATAATTCCAATGCAGCTGATTTAGTAAGTGATATAACGCCAGCTTTTGATGCTGCATAATTAGTTTGACCAATATTTCCAATCTAAAAAAAAATTATTTCTTAGTCAACTTATATTATTTACCTGTTACAGTTTAATTTTTATTTTATGTTAAATATATATTATTATAAATTTACCTTACCCACAATACTTGCAATATTAATGATAGATGCATTCCTTACTTTACTTTTAATTAACTCTGCAGCAACATGTTTTGTAACTAGAAATGTGCCCTATACATATGAATAAAAAAGCAATCAACTATTATAAGTTAATTAAGAGAAAAAAAAAGTAAGCCTAAATTTTTTGAACTTAAATGATATAACCTGATGTTTTAAAAATAGCTTTGATTTAAAAATTTAAAAAAGGTTGTGTGTCTTAATTTCATAAAAGAAACATGCATATATATTCAGCAACATTCTTAAAAAAAATTCATTATAGTTAATATTGGAATTGTTAAAAATGTAATAAAAAGTTTTATGATTTATTAATCACATTTTTTAGCATGCTTTATAAAGAAAAAGAAAAGAAATTTATAATACATTGAAATATACTATTAATTTTATTAATATTATACTTTCATTTGATATTAAATTTAGATAAATATTATATTTTAAGTATAATATTTAAAAAGTGAATATCCTTTATGCAATAAAAATTGCAAATGATATTCATGTTTTAAAAATCATGTTTGTGGTGATGCTGTGTAAACTGTTTTTGTTTACTTTTAAAAAAGCATTAGAATTTTTGAAAGCACTTAAACTCTGATAAAACTCAATTTTTTTCAGCTAATCATTATCGCAATAATCTAGATTTTCCTATATTTATGAACCGTAATGTATTTGATGAGCCATCTACCGTCCATCCTCTAAAACCGTAATGTATTTGATGAGCCATCTACTGTTCATCATCTCATAATATCATAAATCTCAAATCCGTAAATATAATTAAACATGATTAATAATTATTATAGGTTTTCTAGTTAATTATTTATGGCTTCTTGAAAATAGTTTTAAAAGTAGAAACTTTCTATTGCACACAATAAAACCAGTGATTATTAAAAACAAAACTCAAATTAAAAATAAAAAAATTCAAAAGGAATTTTTTTCTAAAAAAATAATTTTAGCATATAGTTAAAGAAATAAAATTTGATTTATTAAACCAAGTTTTTTTTCTCTTACTTTTACAAAACAATTTAAACCGAAAAATTAAATGAAAATGAAAAACCGTTTGAATGAAAAAATTATATATACTTAAATTTTTAATAGTACGGTAGATCAAGAAGCAATAAATTGGAAAAGAACGTGGTATCTTATGTTTTTTTGCTTTGATCTTACTCATTTGGTCTATAGATATAGCATGTTTTTGCACAAATATAAAGCTTAAAGTTTTATGACAATAATGTTTTAATTTGTTAATAGAACAATTCTACTTATTTACTTATTAAAGTTATAAACTGTATAAAACAGTTTTAGATTAACATAACTAGTGTTAATCTAAAACAATATAAAGAGCTTGTGTCACAAGCTCTTTATATTGTCAAAACAACTTTGCAGTATTGTTTAAAACAATATTGCAAATTAAAAATATAAAATATATGAAAAAAAAAATAAAATAAAAAATGTTCTTTGTTTAAATAATTTTGTTTTTTGTGTTGATTTGAGCCCTGAGATAAATGATAATAACTCTGTTGCATTCCAATGCAAGATTTTGAAATAACTCATTATGAATACTTTATGGTATACAGTATAACCACTTCAAAAAATTTTGATGTGATTTTTCATCAGCATTAGGTTCTCAAATTTTCAGGGTGTGGGCACTTAATCACTTAAAAAAATTGATCGAATGATGCTATCAAGCAACTACAAGTGTCTACCACTATAATAAATTATTTATGATTTTTTTTTAGGTCAAACAACCATATCTCTTAAAACAGCATGTAAACTTAAGTCCAACTATAAACTGTAAACTAGGATAGAAACTTTGCTGCTCTTATATTTAATTTCTGTCAAATTGTAACAAAGTTTCTAGCAAATTGATGGTGATGTAATGCTTTCACCTTCGTATTCTAAAAAATATATTGCAGAAGAATACTTTGAAGTTTTTGAAGATCTTTTAATGTTAGAAAACTTAAAATTGAAAATAGGACTCTTGCTATACCTAATGAAAAAAATAATTTTTTTTTTAAAAAGATGAATTTTCCAGAATGATGGCTGGGAAAAGATTTTGTTAAGCTTAAAGCTCAGAAACAAAAAAGAGTATTATTAATATTTACAATAAATAAATTGTATAGGTCTGTCAACCTGGTTTTAGAAAAAGAGTTTATATAAACTAAAAATGAAAAGCATTGTGAATCAGCCTTAAGATGCTATTTGTTTTTAGGATGAATGTCAACTAGCATATTAAACTCTTTTAAAGATGATGCAGTTACTTTATGCCATAAGGAAGAGAGTTCCATTTATTAATTGTTTTTAGAAAGAAAAAACTTTGTCAAAGACTTGCACTGGAAAAATGGTTTTTAAGTTTGAATATATGACTACATCTATTAAATAGGTTAACAATTATAACTGATTATCTATTTGGTTAACAACCGATAATCTAATTGGTTAAAAAATCTAATAGACTTTTATAATATTTTTGCACCATTTAAAGAAATTTATTTGACCTTAACAAATTAGTCTGTATTTTACACTTGTCATATTTACCACCAATCTTTATTTATACAAAAAGTCATATAACCCTTTGATATAATCGGAAGATCTTCTTAATAGGTTTTCTATTTGGCATTTATTTTTAAAAAGCCGCAGGTTTTGAACTGATCCACAATACACCAAATGAGAGTGGACTAGAGCAAAGTTAAAATACTTATAACTTACATACTTATATCTTACAGGTTGGAAGTGAGAAATCAGCAAAAGCTGATACTTTAGAATATATTTTCTGAAAAAATTGGACTTTTTCACATGGACTCCCTCTGGATCAATAGAATTTAAAGCTAGCTTTTTTTATAACAGTAATATTAATACAATACAAGCTAATCTGACCTGTAAAAATACGGGTTTTTGTAAGTTCATTCCACCCTAACCTTCTCTATACTTTTTTCTTTAATATATCCTAGTTTTCCGAACCCATAAAATACGGGTCTTTACCAAATCTACCATTTCTGTACTTCTTTATTCTGCACCGATCATTTCTATACCTATTATTTATTTATAATATATCTATAATATTTTTACGTAAAATAATTCATTTTAAAAAATTGCTTTAAGAGCAAAAAAATTAACATGCGCACCCTTTCAGCATTTGTTTTTCTCTTTACCGCATATCATTAATAGTTCAGTAGTTTAGTGCGCTGTCATCAGAGTCATTTTGGAGGATTAAAGACAAAAGGCCGAGTGAATAAAAATGAGCAATTGCTTTTACTCAGTAATTGGTCAGCTTTACACAATTAAAAACTTTAGCAGTTTTACTCAAATTTTTATTTACATGAAGCTAAGCAATTTACTCAGTAATTGCTCAGCTTTATGCAAATGAAAAATAAAAGAAAAACTTAAGGAGAGTTAACATTGTTTACGAGGTAAATATTAAAAAAACGTAATAAGATAAAAATTTATAAATGAAGATACGTAATATATAAGTTATAAACAAAGTTAAAAAAAAAAAAAAAAGTTATAGTAACAAGTCATTTAAAAGTAGAATTACTATTCACTAATTAAAAAAACATCACAAACCTTTAAGTTAACATCTATTACATCATCAAATTCTTCTTCACTCATTTTAACCATGAGCGCATCTCGTGTGATTCCAGCACAATTTACAACAATACATGGTGGTCTAGAATATTTCTTTGGGTGAAAAATCAATTTTTTTAAAAACAAAATTGCATTCAATTAATAATTTAAAAAAAACAAACAAACAACAACAAACAAACCTTACATATCTCCTTTACAAGATCTTCAACCTGCTTATTTTGAGAGACATTAACAACCAAGCTTAAGTGCTTTTCATCAAACCTTTCTTTTAAGCTACTGATCACTCCTGAAACATCACCTAAACCAACACCTATTACAATAGCACCCTCCTTAGAAAACAACTCGCACACAGCTTTTCCTATTCCACTTGCAGCTCCTAAAAAACAAAAAACATATATTTAACAAAGTTAAAATTTTTATTTAGCAAATAAAATAGGAGAAACTTTAGGTCAGAAGTATTTTGCTACTGCAGATGTTGTTTTGAAGTTTTATGCAATGCACAATTTATGTAGGCATTTTTTAATTATTTTTTAATAATTAAATTAGTCTATATTTTATAAAAGCAGTAAGACAAAAGAAGTAATTACTGTAATAAAAACCACTTCCAGACCCATAAGCGTAAGATCAGCTAGTATACATAATTAACAAATAAAGTTCACTGAAGCGTTAAACCTTAAATGATGAATGATAATGATGATGTCGGGCCTCAAATGATGATGTCGGGCCTCAAGATAAGAGCTGTAAATAAAACACTCTTACAGATAACTTTTGTAAACCAATGTTCAAATTGTTATAGTGTTTCAAATTTATTATAGTAAACTTATATTGTGTTTCATTTTACAGAGATTTGACTGTCACCATTAAAAATATAGATTGATGTCATCATTAATAATAACATTAGTGTTGTCAATACTAAAATACTATAACCATTGAAAAAAAGATGCTAAAACTCATACATAATATCAATTTTAAAGAAGAAATTGATATTATAAAAACTTTTGCACACCACACATGTGTGGAATCACAGACATTTAACCTGATCAAAAAAGACGTAAACTAAACAAAAACAAAATAATAATAATGTAACAATAATATTTTTATAATACTATAAATTATATACAATTTAAATATATATATATATATATATATATATTTATATATATATATATATATATATATATATATATATATATATATATATATATATATATATATATATATATATAATTTTTATAATGCTAAATTTTATGATGAATTGTAACTAAATTGTATGATGATTTGATTATTATGAAATTGTAGCATATTTTAATAAAGTATATTAATATTTCTATATTATTTCTAATTTTTTATTATAAAATATATATTTTTACAATATAAAAGAAATTATCCCTTTTTATTAGAACACCAAAGAGGAGACTAGCTAGTGCAAAGCTTCCTGATGTAAAAAGCAAAAAGTTAGTGGAATTCTTAATGATCAATCATTTAGAAAAATGCGAAATTAGTGACCTACCTCGACAACACGTAAATAAGAAATTAATTACAGCATATAAGAATCTTTTCAATTATGCATACAAATCAAATGTGACTAATTTTAAAACAGTCAAATAGCTGACTAATTTTAATACTTTATGTTAATAATTAATTTGTTAAAACGTTAAGCTAAATAATTAAACTAATTTTAAATGAAATAATAGAGGAGATTTCTCTATTGTCAGTGACATAATATATTTATAAAATAAAAAATATACTTAATAAAAACAAATATTAATCAAAATTAAATAAAATTTTAGTAGAATAATACCAGTAATAAGCGCCAACCTGCCCGACAAACTTCCCGCCATTTAATCATTTTATAAATTGTTTTAAAATATAAACAAAAATTAAAACCGTATGTCGGCG